TTTAGAGATTTTTGTGTTGATAAGCATTGATCATTAATAAGGAATAGTTGGTTATCTTTTTGTTCTTTTAAACATATGGGACACGAGTAAAATAATTTAAAAAGTAACACTTCCTACACTTGACAGCCGTGTCAGCAGAGCATGTAAGAATGGAACTGATGCAGAGTTATATGTGTTTTTCTATAGAAGTGGTTTTTCTAGGATGATATTAAGAGTTTATGGGATGTGAAAGAAAATTGTGAACTGATGCTAAATTTTGACAGCCGAGTATCCTAGATTTTGTTGCCTATACATTGTTGAGTGGTTTTTAACAGCCTTAAGTTAGTGTTAATATCTATAGTGATGTTCTTGTGAGATGGAAAAGCAAAAGGGCGCGGTCTTAGGAGGCTGTAAATAGTATTGAGTGTGTTAAAGGAGAGCTGGGTGGAGGCGGATGAGAGAAGACAGCATTGGAGGGTGGGAAGCAGAGACCATGGAGATGGGAAAATCAGGCAGATAGCTTCCCCACTGTACATATTTCGTACTTCTTCAAAGTTCAGTGAAGGTCTAGGCTTAATTTTTATAAATTTTAAGGATTTCCAATGTTTAGTTACTACTAAAAATATGATTTACATGTAGGCCCTTTGTTTCCAGGGAAAATAAAACGACGTCCTGTTTTCATGTTGATAGATTGATGCAGCCAGAGATTCTGTTTTCTCGCTGGGCCTGCTTGGTTCTGACTCTGCCTTGTCTTCCCAGGTCAACGGTGTGCAGCTCTATGGGAAATCTCGCCGAGAAGCAGTCTCCTTCCTTAAAGAAGTGCCTCCCCCCTTTGTCTTGGTCTGCTGTCGGCGGCTGTTTGACGATGAAGCCTCTGTGGATGAACCGAGGGCCCCCGAAGCCTCTCCTCCCAAGACGCAGGTACTGAATGAACACGCTTACTCGGCCCCAGTCACCAGGGACGACACGAGGGTGTATTGCGATATGAAGGGAGGGGAGAGACTTCCTCCCTCTTTTGTTTGACTGCAGTAGCTCTCAAAGGCAACCATGTGTAGCTCTTCAAATTGTTACTTTTCATTTAACATCATAAAACTTTTCTTTTTTTTTTTTTTTTTACTTGAACTGTTGGTGACATTAATGTGCATGCACTTTGGTTTTAGAGAACCTTTTTTTAGAAATTGCCTGGGCTCATTACTTTTGTCTCCCAGTTCAACTCAGTTCATCTTAATAAGTTTAAGATGTTGGTGAGTGTTGAATATCTAATGGACTTCCCTTTTTCAGAGCCTTAAAAATACGAAGATCTATGACCAATTTCAAAGCGAGTCTAAAAATTGCTGTAAAAGCCTTCAGAAGGTCAGAGAATACAGAACACATTCTGGGCTCTCTGTCGTCTTTTTTAAGAGCATTGTGACTGTGAAAACCGTAGCGAGCACAGGCTTTGCCAGCTTATGCTGTTTGTAACGTCATCTTTTATGCCGCTTTCTCCCATTCCAGACTCTTTTACATTATAATTCCATGATCATCAGTTTAGATACATGGGCCTTTCCTTTTACCTGTCTGTGGCCGGAATTCCGAGATACGTGGACCCTAATCCTGCCTCTACTACTAATGGTTGTGAATCTTTAAGCAAATAACTTGACTTCCTGTTCATATTCTTCTCTGGAAAGTGCTTCCCCACCTCATCAGTTTATGTGAGAAGGGAATGGGGTAACATGTGCAGGGTCCTTAGCTCAATGCCTGCACGTGGAAAGTGCTCAGTAGAAGTTGACTCGCACTGTTCTTCACTCCTCCTGTCTCTGTTTTCCTGTTTCTTGAAGTACATGGCAGGCCAACCCTGTCTTGTAGTCGCAGATACTTTCGTGTGGTTAAGCTTGTTTTTATAAGACAGCTGTTGGCTCTCTGTGGGCAGAGGCCATGTCTTAACACTGTTTTGTATCTCATAGTGTTTTTATTCTGTACTGGGCATATAAGAAGTGCTTAGTAAATTGTTGATTATTGATTGGGAATCTTTGGTTTTTAATGTTTATCTTGGGTAAAACGTATTTCAAGGAAGGGACTCGAATGCCACACTTTTGTGATTCTTACTATCTTTACTAAAATTAAATGTAGCTGATGGCTTACCTCTAAAGGTTGATAAAAATGCCTTTAATCTAATCTTACAGGGTGTGTAAATCACCGACCTGGCTCTCATCTGTCATACTTTACCACAATGGGTGAGCAACAGCTTTGAATTATGCTAAAGTCAACCTGGCTGCCCATTAGTTGATTGCTTTCCATTCTGTAAATATAAGAGTTATGCAGAATTGATCGTATCAAAGTGATGTATTTTAGGTTGGAGCATAATATCTTGTATACCTTGGATGTCTTGAGATTTCTATAAACTTGGGTTTTATAGTTGGTTATATGTGGTTTCTTACAATCCAGGCTCTCTTTTCCATCTGTCTCCTTTTTCATTTATCCCAAACCGTCTTAGGTTCTTAAACCCTATCTGGTGAGGCAGCTCAGCCAAAATTCTAATGCTCATTAATCAGTGAGGGTATTAAATGCCCCAGTAAAACATCAATCATTTTGTATTAGCCATCGGACCTTTACTTTTTATTGGAAGGTATAAGTGTTTTGTTTTCAAGTGTATCATTTTCTCCCATCAGGCTGATATATACAGAGGTTATTGATCCAGAATGTTCCCACTAATTTCAGGTTTCGTAATTCAAGAACCAAGAAGTTGTTCCCATGTTTAGATTCCATCCTCCTTGGATTCAGTATTGACTTTCCACGTCCTGCAGGGACATTTTGAGATCTGGTCCAACTCTAATTTAAAAATGTTTTTGGGGCCGGCCCCATCGCTTAGCAGTTAAGTGCGCGCGCTCCGCTGCTGGTGGCCTGGGTTTGGATCCCGGGCGCGCACTGACGCACCGCTTCTCTGGCCATGCTGAGGCCGTGTCCCACATACAGCAACTAGAAGGCTGTGCAACTATGACATACAACTATCTACTGGGGCTTTCGGGGGAAAAAATAAATAAATAAATAAAATTTAAAAAAAAATGTTTTTCTATTAGCGATGGTGCCTTACTCTTCCGTGTTGGAGGGGTCCCCCCCACACTCTGACCTTTTACACATGTGACTCAAAATCATGTTCATAGGAATGATGCACTTTCATTTTATTTGCTAGGATCACCCAAAGTTTTAAGAAGTCTGCTTTTAAAAATTATTAGTCTGTGGGGCCTGCCCGGTGGTGCAGGCGGTTAAGTGCATGCGCTCCGCTGCGGTGGCCCAGGGTTCGCCGGTTCGGATCCTGGGCGCACACCATTGCACTGCTTGGCAAGCCATGCTGTGGCGGCGTCCCATATAAAGTGGAAGAAGATGGGCATGGATGTTAGCCCAGGGCCAGTCTTCCTCAGCAAAAAAAGAGGAGGATTGGCAGATGTTAGCACAGGGCTGATCTCCTCAAAAAAAAAAAAATTATTAGTCTGTAGCTTTATTAAAAAAGAGTTTCAAGGGAAACCCACTCAGAGATGGATGATTCATTGATGTATTGAACGAATATTTATCCAGTGCCCACTGTGTGCGAGGCACTGCTGTGGGTTGAGTGGACGACCGGGGTAGACTTGGGCAGCCCGCACAGAGTTTCCGTTCTAGCCTGGGAGCCAGGCATTTTGTTAGTTGCTAGGGCTACAAAGAAAACGAAGATAATTCTTGAGTTTCAGATTGATGTTCAGAGCATCTGGGGGAAGAGAAATTGTGTTAAAACAACAGTTCAGTGCTGTTAGTGGTATAAAAACAGAAGGTTGGAGCAGCTAGCCTCCTGCACAGTCAATTCATTGACCCTCCGTCACTTGGCTTCCTTTAATTCCGTGTGGCAGTGACTCTTCTCTGACAGGAGGGGGACCTGGGGTGTGAAGGCAGGGAGGATAACCAAGGACCTGTGTGCTGGGTAGTTGTGCTGACCTACTTCCTCCAAGATCAGATTTTCCTTATTTTAACTCAGTCATTTTTACCTGTTTTTAGACTTACATGATTCCCAAAGACATGAGTTTTTCCCAACTTTTTTTTCTAGTACGGTTTTCTCGAAAACTTCCAGGAGTCAACAGAAGTGTTTTCTCTGTGTCCTGCCCTGGCCTCTCTCTGCGTTGGCATCTTTCTCTCTCTCACTGTAATTATGAAGTCAGTGCTACTTATGAGTTGTGACTTTATATAATGTTTTTATTTTTGCTTAAATTGCATATTTTTCCTTTTATGCTTCTAAAGGGATGACAGAACTCATTGAAGTATAAGAGGTCAGTGTTAATACTTTGAATGAAACAGGTACTTTACATTTAAAAAACCTGTATGAACAGTCTGCATTTTCAAGTGCTTGAATTTTCATGAAGATCTTATACTAGAGTATATGTGCCCCAGTGCATGCTCCTTTTGAAAAGATTAAAAAGGAAAACTACGCATGCCAAAGAGAATCCCCAGTTTGAGAAGAAGCTATGAGATCTCTGATATGTTAATTCTTTCCAGAATTGGAAAGACAGTGTTTTAAAGCATTTGTGTCTTTTGGTATTTTAGGCTGACCACAATATAGACGTGAATCTTGAAGACGACGATGATGGGGAATTAGCACTGTGGTCTCCTGAAGTCAAGATTGTGGAACTAGTAAAAGATCATAAAGGCTTGGGATTCAGCATTCTGGATTACCAGGTATAAGAACCTATGTAGAGTTTTTTCGAGTGATTAGTTTGTATTAAAGTTATGTGAGGTAGTAATTGTTTAAGTCACCCACTGATTTAGGCAAAGCTGAATGGTTTGATGTATATGCTGCTGTCCAAAGGTGGGCTTATGATTTCCGTTGTTACCTTTCCAATTGATAGCTCCCTTAGTGAATAAAATGATGGATGATATAGTAACTGGACAATAAGGGAAGCAATAGTTTTATACCCATGGATGCTTTTAGAGACTGGAACTTGATGAATTTTTTTATATCGAGGGTCTTTTTCCCCAGCTTTATTGAGATATGTTTTACATACCATAAAATTCACCCATTGAAAGTGTACAGTTCGGTTGTTTTTCATATATTCAGAGTTCTGCAACCATCACCACAGTCTAATTTTAGAATATTTTCATCACCCGAAAAAGAAACCCTGTACGTATTAGCGGTCCTTCTCAATTCTCACTGCTCTCCTTCCCCTTCACGTGAATGTTTTTAGTTTTGCTTACCTAGTAATCTTGATGAGTTTAATTAAGTAGAAATGTTCTTGGTGAAGTTGTATATTATATTTAATATAGAACACAGAATGTTTATGTATTTATATGTAACCTAGTTGTAACTAGGGTAAAGTTACCAATGCATTTGGCGGGGGGGGATGTGAAAGGTCACAATACGACATCTATGTTTATACCAGTTTACCGGTTCATATTTCTAGATCTTCTGATTATCATAGGGAATTAAAACTGTTGGCAAAAACTCTCTTCACTTTTAAGATGCATGTTTTAATACATTAGTGCTGCCTAAACACATTGTGGTTTAATAAAGCGAAATGTACTCTATCAAAACACATAAAATGCCAAGTGATATGAAAATCAGTTCTTTTTTTAATATAATAAAGCAATAGGAAACAGATTAAAAGAAAAGTACTTTGAGTATTATGTAAGAACATTCAATTCCATGTTTTGGCAGTGTGATTTAAGATTATGGAAATAGATTATACCTATTTTGTTTTTGCTGGCGTTATTTCTGTGACAGACACCCTTTCTATTATTGGAACTTCTCTTTGGAATATTATTGAATTATGAGTTGTTGATTCCAAATAATGCATATTTTGGGAAATGTTTTTATCAAGAAATATCAATACTGTAAGATTCTGGAAGTTTATATATTGGTTAATATTAGGGCATATGAAACAAATGGCAGGTACAATCTCATTTTCTTCTCCCCAGTGTAGCCCTGTTACCTTGCATGGGGCAGGGGACTAATAAACGTTTGTAGAATGATTGAATAAAGTTAGGTTAGCCAAAATTAACTGGGACTAAATGAACACTGGGATTTTTTTGTTAACCATTTTGATAACTAGGATTTAGTTTGGAAAACATCTTTTGGTTGTGGACTTAGATACTCAGTTCCATTTCCATTATCGTGGAATCCTTGGAAATTTGCGATCTTCTGTGATGAAGATGTCATAATGGTCGCTCCTGCCCTCTTGAATGTCATCGTCTGCAAGTGTTATATTTTGACTGATGCACATGTCAAAGCAGAGATGTGCTTCAGAAATTAAAAAACAAAAACACAACCAACTTCAGTAAAAGAAGGAAAGAAAAAGTTGGTCGTCCTCAACAGTTGAATCCTTGGTTAGAAACATTCCTCTATCAGTGCTGAGCTCTACACTGTTTAAGAAAATATATAGTCAGTTCTAAATATTGAATGGCTTTTTCTTCACTCCATTGCTATAGGTGTGCATTATAACGTACCTTTGGTTTTTCGGAATTTTATTTTATTTTATTTTTTAAAGATTTTTTATTTATTTATTTTTCCCCCAAAGCCCCAGCAGATAGTTGTCTGTCATAGCTGCACATCCTTCTAGTTGCCGTATGTGGGACGCGGCCCCAGCATGGCCAGAGGAGCGGTGCGTCGGTGCGCACCCGGGATCCAAACCCAGGCCGCCGGCAGCACAGTGCGCGCACTTAACCGCTAAGCCACGGGGCCGGCCCAAAGATTTTATTTATTTATTTTTTCCCCCCAAAGCCCCAGTAGATAGTTGTATGCCATAGCTGCACATCCTTCCAGTTGCTGCACGTGGGACGCGGCCCCAGCATAGCTGGAGAAGTGGTGCGCGCCCGGGATCCGAACCCGGGCCGCCAGCAGCGGAGCGCATGCACTTAACCGCTAAGCCACGGGGCCGGCCCGGAATTTTATTTTTATTTAGAAAATTCTAGGGTTTTTCCCCCCTCTCATCTTCCTCAAAATCATTATACATACTGATGTTTATTTCTGCACAAATTATATAAAGTAATTTTGCTGCAAAGGAAGTGTTAGATATTCTTTTTGTGCTTCTCAGAGACCTGATAGAGAAAGACTTCATTTTCTTTTTTTTTTTTTTTAATTTTTATTTATTTATTTGTTTTCCCCCCAAAGCTCCAGGAGATAGTTGTATGTCATAGTTGCACATCCCTCTAGTTGCTGTATGTGGGACGCCACCTAAGCATGGCCGGACAAGCAGTGCGTCAGTGCGTGCTCGGGATCCGAACCCGGGCCACCAGTAGCAGAGTGCGCACACTTAACCGCTAAGCCGCGGGGCTGGCCCCCTATGTGTAACATCTTTATTCCTCAGGATAATACTAACACTCCTACTAATATTAATCCTAATATTAGTACAATAAAATTAATACAAATCCAACAATAATAGCTAACCTTTATTGAGTGTTTACTATTTGCTAGGCACTGTTCTAATTGCTTTATGTATTCCTCACAAGAACCGTGTGAAGTAGGCACTATTATTATCCTCATTTTAGAAGTGAGGAGCCTGAGGCGCAGAGAGGTTAAGTAACTAGTCCAAGTTCACACAGCTCCTATGAGGCAGCACTAGAATTGGAACTCAAGCAGTTGGCTCCCAGCGCCTATGCTTTTACCCACCACACTGTACTGCCCCTTTCCTTGTGAGTGGTGTTTCCATGTGTGTTTTATTATAGGGGATCCCTGTAAGAAATTTATTACAGCAGATCTTCCTGTTTTTCCAGCTTGCAAAAAAATTTCATTTCTTAAAGACAAACTGCTATATAGTATTCTCATTTTTAATGCTTATATGAAAGTTTAGTAAGTATTAAAAATTAACACTATGTGTGTGCTCATATGCATTGTGTAAGAGCTAGTGTTTATTGCTTTAAAAGAAAATAATTACAAATTTAAGAATCCTAAATTAGTGCAAGTAATTTGTTGTGGGTTAATGTTCAGTAATGAAGCAGTTACTAGGTAGTCTGCGAGTCTGTAATTTGTATTTCCTACCAAAAAGCTTGAAATAAATTTAGAACCATGTAGATTTTACCTTCAGTTGACCTTATAAATTAAACATGGCAAGTGGATATTTTCTGGTGTTTTGATTTATGTTGAACTTTGAATAACCCCTCATGATTATAATTCACTGAAAATGTTTGACATTAGCCACTTTTTGAACATTAGCCATGATATTGCCATTCTTGGTACTTTTGGATTTCAGTGATCTAGAAGGTAAAATTTATTAACCAGTAATTCGCCTCCCTCCCACATCCCATTCCTTATTCTCTCCCCTCCTGGTATGGACGGAATCAATTTTTGCCAAAGCAGATATTTTTGAAAGACTTTGGGTTTATCTCGGACCCTGAGAGAGATAAAAACAGAAAGTGCAGTAGCACAGCCACCGAGAGGTGGTGGGTACGTAAGTACTGCCGGTAACACCTGAAATTTGTTTGGAAGACCAAAGGCAAATGATGGCTCTTTAACAAGAGTAGTGAAAATATTCCTCCCTATAAAAATTAACAGTGATTCATTTTCCTTAACGGAAGAAGGAGAATGTAAAACCCAAACAGTATGGATATAAATACGGCAGTGTTGCTGAGTCTTGGATATGGTGTGCTCTAGTATTTATGAGAAAAACTTAGTGTGCAGTTTTGTGCTGACTACCAGCTCTATTAGGTGGAATTCTCTCTAAAAAAGATTTTTGAAAGTTGTAGGAAGGGATTGTATAAATGTCATGTGTGTGCCTTTAGGTTGGCTTTTTTCTTATATGTGCAACAGACAGACTTTCTGAGCACATTAGAAATGCTTTAAAAATAGGTACTACATACTCATGGCATAAAAATTCAGAGGTACGTAAAGGTATCCCATGACAGGTAAATCTACCTCTGACTGTAATCCCTCACTTCTCCTCCCGTAAAAACTCCTGTTTTTCTTGTCCTCCCTCCTAGAGATAGTTTATACATACTATAAACTGTGGTTATATCATAGTGTTTTTTTGTTGCTTAATGTTTTTTGTTTTTTTACACATAAATGGAATATGTCATACACACTTGAAGCACATTGCTTTTTTTCTCAATTATATGTTCTTTCATTTTGGTGCTTATAGACCAACCTGATTCTTCGCAATGACTGCATGGTGTGTTATTGTCGACATACAATAACTTATTTAACCAATCTCCTGCTCTCAGTTGGTGCGTACTTCAAATGAGGCTGTAATGGATATCCTTGTCATACTCTTGTAAAAAGATGAGAATAAATCTTGTGATAAATTCATAGAAGTGGTATTCCTCATCAAACGAGCATATATCTTTTAAAGTTTGGTATATTTTTACCAAATTGCTTGAACATAACTGTTTGTGAGACTTGCATGTGTTTAGGCATCTTGAAATTGATGCTTTCTTAAGTAGAGTCATTTCTTTATTCTCCTGGAAAGTAAAGTGTAAGTGGGTGTGTAATTCATGAATTTGCTAATGGTTTTCCATGATATGGACAGATTAAGTGATTTCAGTAGATAACCATCAATTTTGTTTCCACTTTATATTGGTGGTAATTAATTTATTGACTTTTGTAGCTAAGAGGGCGTAAACTATTTATATTCAGACTATGATATTAGTGCCCCCAAATCTTTTCCTATATCTTCTACCAGTTTTAATCTTGTTTATCAGAAAATTGAGTTTAAAAAGGGAAGAAATTAAGGACTTTAATTTTTGCTGCA